GGGGACACTTTGGGGACACTTGGGGACACTTCGGGGGGGTTGGGGACATTTGGGGACACTCTGGGGGGGGGGGGGCCCGGGGGTCACCCGGGCTGGATTTGGGGTCCCCCAGGTGTGACCCCGAGTGGGACTTTGAGCTGCAGCCCGGCCACTTCGACATCGTCCTGTGCGCCGACGTCACCGAGGCCCACGGGTGACGTCCCTGTCACCCCCCCGGTGTCACCACCCCCGTGTCACCCCCCCGGTGTCACCCTGGGTCACCCTGGGCCACCCTGGGTCACCCCCTGTGTCCTCGGTGTCACCACCCCCGTGTCACCCCATGTCACCCCTGTGTCCCCATCCCCGCCATGACGTGTCCCCAACATCCCCGATGTCCCCAATGTCCCCAGTTCCCCTTGATGTCCCCAATGTCCCCACTGTCCCCAATGTCCCCACACCCATGACGTGTCCCCACTGTCCTTGCTGTCCCCAATGTCCCCAATCCCCCCAGTGTCCCCAATGTCCCCACTGTCCCCAATCCCCCCACTGTCCCCACCCACGTGATGTGTCCCCGTTGTCCCCAATGTCCCCAATCCTCCCAGTGTCCCCATTGTCCCCAGTGTCCCCAGTGTCCCCAATCCCCCAATGTCCTCAATGTCCCCAATGTTCCCAATGTCCCCACCCCCATGATGTGTCCCCGCTTTCCCCAATCCCCCCGCTGTCCCCACCCCGGTGATGTGTCCCCAATGTCCCCACTGTCCCCATTGTCCCCAATGTCACCAATGTCCCCAGTGTCCCCGATGTCCCCAATGTCCCCAATCCCCCCGCTGTCCCCAATCCCCCCGCTGTCCCCACTGTCCCCGCTGTCCCCGCTGTCCCCGCTGTCCCCACCCCGGTGACACGTCCCCGCTGTCCCCAGCCCGTCCGGGGGGCTCCCGGCCCTGCTGCGCTCCCGGGGGGTCCCGGTGCTGCTGCGGCGCCTCCCGGTCGGAGACTTCCTCTGGGTGGCGCGAGAGAGGGACCCGCCCGCAGGTGGGCGGGGCCGGGGGCGGGGCCGGGGGCGGGGCCTGGGTGGGCGGGGCCGATGTGACCACGCCCCCAGGGCTGGGCGTGGCACCTGGAGTGGGCGTGGCCTGTTTGACCACGCCCAGGGGTGGGTGTGGCAGAGGGGGCGTGGACTGGATGGGCGGGGCCTGTGTGACCACGCCCAGGGCTTGGGTGTGGCCGAGGGGCGTGGCCTGGGTAGGCGTGGCTTGTGTGTCCACGCCCAGGGATCACGTGTGGCGTGGGTGGGCGTGGCATGGGTGGGGCCTCTGTGACCCCACCCCAGGGCTGGGTGTGGCATAAGGAGTGGGCGTGGCCTGCGTGACCACGCCCCTAGAACTGGGCGTGGCCTGAGTGGGCGTGGCCTGTGTGCCCACGCCCAGGGCTTGGGTGTGACACATGGAGTGGGCGTGGCCTGCGTGACCACGCCCCTAGAACTGGGCGTGGCCTGAGTGGGCGTGGCGCTTCATTGGATGTGGTTGTCACTAATGGGCGGGGCCACGTGGTGGCCACGCCCCCTGAGGGGTGGAGACATGGTGGCCACGCCCTCAGGGCGCCTCAGCCGTTCATTGGCCGAGTTCAGAGGGGGAGTGGCCTGTTCCTGGCCACGCCCATGAAATTGGGTGTGGTCGGGGGCGTGGCCAGGTCCAGGCCCCGCCCATGAAGTTGAGTGGGCGGGGCCAGGCGTGATGGGCGTGGTGCTGGGGTGTGGTCAGGGGGCGTGGTCAGTTCAGACCACGCCCATAAAGTTGGGGCGGGGCCATATGAGATGGGCGTGGTCAGATGGGCGTGGCCAGTTTCAGACCACGCCCATATCACGGAGGGGCGTGGTCAGGTGTGGTGGGCGTGGTCAGAGGGGGCGTGGCCAGACATGATTGGCGTGGCACCGGGGCGTGGCCAATGCTGGCTCCACCCCCACGGGTGGGCGTGTCCACGTTCAAGCCACACCCCCTTGGGCGCCATGCTGGTGGGCGTGGCCTGGGTTGACCCCGCCCTAGGAGTGGGTGTGGGTGGGCGTGGCTCGGTGGGCGTGGTTTGGAGTGGGCGGGGCCGGTGTGACCCCTCTGGCCACGCCCCCAGGCCACGCCCCCCGGGAGCTGGTGCTGGACGTGGTGGTGGAGCGGAAATCGGCGGCGGATTTGGGGAACAGCATCCGGGACGGGCGGTACCGGGAGCAGAAGGTGGGGACTGGGGGGACTGGGAGGGACTGGGAGGGAACTGGGAGGGAACTGGGGGGGACTGGGAGGGACTGGGAGGGAACTGGGAGGGGACTGGGGGAACTGGGAGGGACTGGGGCCCACTGGGACAGACTGGGAGGTAACTGGGCTGGACTGGGATGCACTGGGAGGTAACTGCGACGAACTGGGATGAACTGGTCTCTACTGGGAGGTAACTGGGACGAACTGTTCTGCACGGGTTCGTACTGGTCTGTACTGGTGTAACTGGGCTGCACTGGGAGGTAACTGGGATGGACTGGGGGATAACTGGGAGGTTACGGAGATGAGCTGGTCCATACTGGTCCATACTGGTCCATACTGGTCCATACTGGTCCATACTGGTCCATACTGGTCCATACTGCTCCGTACTGGTTCGTACTGGTCCATACTGGTCCATACTGGTCCATACTGGTCCATACTGCTCCGTACTGGTCCGTACTGGTCCGTACTGGTCCATACTGGTCCATACTGGTCCATACTGGTCCATATTGGTTTATACTGGTCCATACTGCTCCATACTGCTCCATACTGCTCCATACTGGCCGTACTGGTCCGTACTGGTCTGCACTGGTCCATACTGGTCCGTACTGGTCCGTACTGGTCCATACTCGTCCATACTGGTCCGTACTGGTTTATACCGGTCCGTACTGGTCCGTACTGGTCCGTACCGGTCCGTACTGGTCCGTACTGGTTTATACTGGTCCATACTGGTCCGTACTGGTCCATACTCGTCCATACTGGTCCGTACTGGTTTATACCGGTCTGTACTGGTCCGTACTGGTCCGTACTGGTC